TACCTAATGTGGTGTCTTGATATGTAAAAACAAAGACATAGAATGTTTACCAAGTGCCAGAGGAATTTCCAGCTTTATCCTATGAGGCATGTACTATGTAGCCTTTTTTTTTTTTCAGCATAGTAGCACCCTGTACCCAAAGAGGTGCTTTTTATATCCATCCACAGATATCCATTTAAATGGTTCTTCCCAGAAAAGCTGTCAGGGCTGATTCAGACCTCCGACTTGAACCTGGACTTGAATATGTTCAACATTCACCCTGAGATTCAGCCTCAGGCTTGGCCTCCTTGCTTTGGGGTGACTATCACATTTGGAGAGACCATGGCTTCAAAGGATTACTTTAGGCAGCGCACAGCCACCACCTGGACAAAGGCCAGACCACACTGCAGGCCTGTGGTTAGAGTCCTCAGTGTGTTGGGTCTACACATTTTCACTCTCTGAATGTTGGTTCATTCTTTCAATAGGGAGTTATGATTTTTGTTCTGTTCTATTGTATAATTATTCATTACCTTTCAGAGCCTTTTGTCTTTCCTTGAATATAAAAGCAAAATTTGTCCTCAGCTCATTCTAAAAATCTCAGTTGTGTGCTATTTCTTGAGATTGTTTTCTCAGGATATCCCAGCTCTCTGAAGATGGTAATTCTGTTTTGATTCTCTTTATAATCAGATTTCCTTTTGAAGCACTCTTGAGTCCTATTGAAACTCTCTGCTAGGTTATGTCTTTCCCTGAGGTTGGAGAGATGATTTTTATTTTGGCAAGCTTGTCACCATCTCATGCCCCATCCAAATCCCGAAGTCATAGAAGTTGTGAATTCTATTCTTTCTTCCATCATTTCATCTCAAGAGACTCAGCTGGATGAGCTCACTTTGCTCCCCCACACCCCACCATTTATCTCAAGGTAATTTAGATATGTGTTGGTTACAGGATGGGTAAGTAATGAAGGTTAAGTTTGTAGTAGTTTAATTTTCTGGTGGTACATTTTTCAGCTTTTTGGATTTATGTTGTTGCTGTGTTTTTCTATACTAAGTAATTATAAGACTTGCATGAGCCAAAATTACAAACAGTATGAACTGAGAACAGAAGCCTACTCTAAGACATATCTGCAGAATAGCAGGGATGTATGGCCGTGGGGTCCTGGAGGACTTGTAAAGAGCAAGGATTGGATTAAATCGATGTGAGAAATCCTGACTGGAGTTTTCTAACCGTCCCCTTGTCTGTTGGAAATATTTTTAATTCAAAGCATTAAAGACATTTGAAACAGAGAGATAGCTTGGGCTGTTTGGTCAAAATAAGAATATTAAGTCAAGTCACTCCTTCAAAGCCACATGACGTGGAGGTCTCCCAGAAGTTGCATGGTGGCCTAAGGGAAATGAGCCAGAAGATTCCTCTGGGAGGAGTTGACCAGGGTCTATGACAGGGAAACATTCATTATAGTGAGCAGTCTGGTTGTCAGCTGTGGCCCAGGGTGAAGATTGAATTGCCTCTAAGGCAAGTCCAGGCTAGTTTCTCATCTTAAAGAATGGCTGGGCATCCCAGAAGAGTGAGCAGGACTTCAGCATGACTGTGTCTCTGTGAGTAAAATACCAACGTAATTTAGCCTTCAGCTTGCCCTGCTCCAATCAATTTTCTTTACTACAGCTATAGTGATATTTTAAAAACAGAAATTGGATGGTGTCACTACCCTGATTAAAGTCTGAGTTCCTTCACATGGCCCACAAGGCCTGACGGGATCTGGCCTAAGCTTACCTTTCCAGATTCATTTCAGGTAGATGATGCTTCTTCTTGTAACTAAGTCTTCTCAGGCATTCTTCTCTGGAATGTTTTTTCTTTCCTATTTATCTGTTTCACTTCTATCTCAGGTCTCAGATGAAGCACTGCTTCCTTAGAGAATCCTTCTCTGACCTCTTTGAGGAGGTCGAATCCCCTTGTTAAGAGATTTCCCATCCTTGGTGCAATGATGACAGGTTTTGCTCAGGGTCCTGCTAGGCTGTGAGGTCCAGGATGTCATTGTATTCATCACACCAGGTCAGGGATTTGTAGGTGGCTGATTGGTGTTCTTTGAAATTCAGGAGTTCTCTTCCCTTCCTAATTTAACGGAGACAAAACTTTAGCCACTAGAATATCACCTCTGGATTTCCACCCTCATTCTCTCTCTTTTTTTAAAATTGATTTTATTATTTTTTTAAAAATACATGACAACAGTGGAATGCATTACAATTCTTATTAGACATATAGAGCATAATTTTTTGTATCTTTGTATATAAAGTATGTTCACACCAATTTATGCCATTATACATGTACTTTTTTTTTTGCATTACAATTCTTAATGCACATATATACCACAATTTTTCATATCTCTGTATATAAGGCATGTTGACAACCAATTCAAGTCTTCATACATGTACTTTGTATAATGATGACCATCATATTCCACCATCTTGCTAATCCCCTGCCCCCTCCCTTTCCCTCCCACCCCTCTTCCCTATCTAGAATTAATCTAATCCTCCCATGCTCTCCCTCCCTACCCCATTATAAATCACCCCCCTTATATCAGAGAAAACATTCATTTTACTCAGCATTAAAAAAGAACAAAATCATGGCATTTGCAGGTAAATGGATGGCATTGGACAGGATGATAATGCTAAGTGAAGTTAGTCAATCCCAAAAAACAAATGCCCACCCTCATTATCTACCTGGTAAATCCCTGTTTGTGTTCTAAGATCAAACTTCACAGTCCTTTTCTTTGAGATTCTTTCCACAGTTGTCCTCTGTGCTAGTCAAGGGAGTCTTGGTGGCTTAAACCAACCAGGACATCCATCTAAGTCATGCAGCATGGTCATCATGCTTATCTGGTGGCCTGCTTCTCATTCAGGGACCCAGGCTGAAAGAGTCTCCATCTCTGTGCTTCCACGAAACAAGACACTGTGGTAAGCCATAAGCTGGCTCTACCTTTTCTCCTAGAAATGATGCACTTTCATTCATATTTTATGATCAGACATACAGCCAGGTTTAAATGAGAAGAGGGTGGGGAAGTACAGTGGTACTATGTGTGAAGAAGTAGGAAAACTGGTAATATTTGATGCTATGCCACCCAACATTTTCCAATACATGTCTTCCCTTGGTGTTCTCAACTTGTCACTTTCATGAATTCATTCCTCCACACTCCTTTAATCATACCAAAGACCTTATAATCAACAATAGTAACATCACTTTTAGAATCTTAATGTGAAGCACATTACTCTACTAAGAAGCAACTCTGAGATGGAGACCGGCACACAGAAAGCTGGTGACTGCCTGAGTTATTTCATTAATTTCTAGTGTTTTGTTCTTATAATATGGTTATGGGAATCTTGTTAACTGTGGGTCTTCTCCTTGGACCTCAATTACCCAGCAATAACTTTTATTTATAGGCTGACAGGTCTTTAGCACAAAAAAGAATATGATGTTATTCTAGGGTGTTTTACTAGGAAATAAATCAACCTACTTTTCTTTAAAAAATAAGTAGAAAAATGGGTTTTCTAGTGACTCAGAGTAGCCATATTTATTCTTGGCTTCTGCACATTAAGGGCTTTAGGATATCAGTGATTATCTTAATGGAAACACTGTGTTTAACTAGTTACCATTTTCAAGGTGATGTCATGAAATAAATCTTGATGAATAAGAGGTCAACTTCTGAGTTCAAATCCCAGGTCCAGTATGTTTCAATGGGATGACTTTTTGTCAGAGATTTAACTTCTCTGAATCTGTTGTCTAGACTTTTTATTTATTTATTTTTACTGGGGATTGAACCCAGGGGCACTTAACCACTGAGCCACATCCCTAGTCCTTTTTAATATTTTATCTAGAGACAGGGTCTTTCTGAGTTGCTTAGGGCCTTGGTAAATTGTTGAGTCTAGTTTTGAAATCCAGTGCTCCTTTTTTCAGTCTCCTCAGCCACTGGGATTACAGGCATGTGCCTCTGTGCCTCGACTTTAAAATGGGGGGAGTATTTGTACTTTGTTCTTGAACTGCATATGAATCAAATTAGGTAATTCCTTTAAAGATACAAAGCATTTTGTCTGCCTCACTGGATTTTAAGCATTAAGTTCAGAACTGACTCTTAGGACAAAGTGATGAGGTATTGGGGGCTTGGACTAGTTAAATGCAAGTCATTAGCCACTAACAATCAGAACCAGAGCTAAAGACCATATTTTCTATCTTGGATTCCCATGCTGCACTCAAATCCCTTCCTCTCTCACACCATCAACTATAAGCAGCTTGAGTAAGATGAACATAAATCAATTTTTAAAAACACAATCTATAGAAGAGGCCAAACTCTGTACTTATTGGTAGAGGTTATTTTAATCCACACCATGATCTTTTATGAGAAAGCAGAAGATGATCTGACCTCCCTTCCAAAGAGAACAATATATTTTGTTGAATCAGCCCATTATTCTATCACATGGGAGAGATCTCCAGGTCAAGGGATGAAAGACATTAATTTGCATGAGAAACAGCTGCTGTCCGTATCCACAGTACAACACAAGAGAAACTGGCTACAGCATCATTTTGTAACAGAAGGATTAAAGCATGTCTTAGTAAGACACATAGCAGAGAGCAGCCGGATTCCCTTGATCTCTCTGATAAAAGCTGTACCGTGTACCATGGATGCCCAATAAATATTAATTGGTATCAACTTCATGGGCACAGAACTCCTTGAGTTTGGACGTTTAAATTGAGCATCCTCCTTGGTGGGAAATTAATAATTGATTCTGTCTTCATACTTCCAGGGTTCTTAACTCTTCTGTCTCACCATGTGTCTTTTTACGAAATACTTTCAGCTTAGGACAGGATCTCATGTCTCAGCTGAATTTGCACTTAAGTTTTTGTGTTTAATACATCTTGCTTTTCCTCCTGACTTCATTGGACATTCACCTTTTGTAACTTTATTGTAAGATGATTACACTCTGGTTCAATTATTTGACTAACCATGATATTGCTTCTTTTTTTTTCCCCATCAGATATTGATGAATGTGCAGCTAAGATGCATTATTGTCATGCCAATACTGTGTGTGTCAACCTGCCGGGGTTATATCGCTGTGACTGTGTCCCAGGATACATTCGTGTGGATGACTTTTCTTGTACAGGTGAGAATTAAGAAGCATTTCCCCCTAATTTATCCCTTCTTTACACCATATTTGTGTTGCATTTAGCTCCTGGTGCACAAAGTATTGTTTTCCTTAAATAATTTGCTTTCATTATTTCACCCTCGCCTTTTTGAGAAAAATATAATAATAACAGAAATTTTATCTGCATGATTTATTTCCACTCCCAGTATTTCTGCCTGTTTGTGTGAGTACACTTGCATGGGAATGTTATTTGGAATTGGAATTGAAGTCCTAGTTGCCTTTGGTAATACTGAAGTACTTAAAGGTATCAGTGCTAAAAATAGAAACTATCAAACCATTTTCTTTCCATCACAAGGAGAACTATTTTTTTATATTAAGAACATGTACTTTGGGAAAGATAAGTATTAAATTGGAAAGGGTGGCAGGAGTATCTCATGGTCAGGGAATAGACATGGGAACCAGTCAAGGTTATATTTGCTTATTTTCAGTGTCCCATCTCTTCTCACTATGTCCCTGTGGCTGGCACTAACTGTAATGCCAAAGACAGTCACTGTCTGTGTGAGTTGTGCTGGCTTTGTGGAGTACCTGGTTTATAGTTGCAAAGTATTTTTTAATTATGTATCTGCAGGTATCAACCTTACATTGGTTTGGGCTATTAAAAGATTCCAGTCTTTATTCTCTTGGATTAAATGAATTCAAATGCCCAACTGCCACCTATACACATAAAGGACTTCTTGAACTCATGGTTTCAGTCATGTTGTACCTTTTCCTAACTTCTGCATCTTTCTTTCTGTCCTAATGATATTGGCATATAAAAATTACATTCTTTAATCATAAAGTAATGCCACTTTTCTTAATTTTTCTAAATGAGCTTTACAGAAGTGCAAAAAGTTACAAAAATTATGGAAACACATATGTCTAAATTCCTTTGTCATTGATTGTATGTTTACAAGTTGTTCTTCTCCAGGTGAAGGGAATGGAGAGCTCAGATTGATAAAGGTTTCTGAGGGTACATAAACCAAATGCAATTTAACAGTCTTATACATAGCATAATTAAAAATTCCTAGGAAAACATGAAAGGTTTTATAAACTTAGCATGCTGAGATCTAATTTTTTTTAAAGGTTTGAAGTTCTTTTGGACCTCTAAACAAACATGATGTAAAAACCTCAGATGTTATAGGTGACTATCACTCTATTCTTAATAGTATACAGAGCTCGTAACTTATTTTAACCATAAGATTAGAAGAAGCCAGTGCGTCTCCTCCAGACACAACAGCTCATAACTAAGGAAACCTTAAGGACAACCCTATTGTATGGAGGGCCTTGTTGAAATTATATCAGAACGTCGCTTCTGCTCTTAAGTTTTCATTGAGGAAGGGGGAAGCAAGTTGTTACTTGCTAAATTCCTATTAAAGTCAGATGTTCTGCCTGGTAGTTTGTATATGGAATGAGATGGAAAATGTACTATCTTAGGAAATGGCTCCAGAATTTCTTATATAAAGTGAACTATGTTTTTTGGAATAAAAAGCAAAAGTGCACCCATCCTCATACACACAAAAAAGTAAATGACCCTGAAGGGGAAAAAAAGTCTATGTTATAAACATATACTTTTGTTTTGTTGTGTATGTGTGCATGTGTATTTTGCCTGAGAGGGAATAGCAAAGTTAGAAATTGCAGAAGAAAGAAAATTAGATAGAGAGGAGAGGAAGGAATCAGACGGAGAAGGCAGGCTGCTGTGGGAGGAGAGATGGAAGGTTTTTAAAAGAGCAGCAATGTTTCATGTGTGGCTTATCCACTATTTGCTATACAACATGCTGTGTTAATCTTCCTCATGACCCTGAAATCCTCAGCGAGTCCACCTTCCCCTACTGCTGGGTAGCACTGCCCCCAATACTAGGACACATGTTCACCTGGTAGACAACAGAAATGGCACCTGTCACGCAGGATGTTGGGATGGAGGAGGCAGAGGAGCCATCATAGTGGGACCGTCTCTGTCCCTCCTGATGCCCCTTGACTCCCACTGCCACACACTTAATTAACCATACTGCATATCTTTTGTCACTGCCTCTTTTCAGGAATTTCATAAATTATAATGGGGACTTTGGACTTCCTCGGGTCATACAGCAGAGAAGATCTTCTTCATCCCAAAGCACTCCTTGGATTCCAGGTTCCTTCCAAGCGACTCACTGCTACATTTTTTTCTGCTTCTCTGCACAGCAGGAATTAGTCTGTCTGTGGGTGTCATCCTCATTTGCCTTCACTCACCTTATACTTCCACCCTGACCTTACAAAGAGACCGTATTTGTCAGGGTCCTCAAGAAGTTCCTTTTGCTAAATCTAATGTTCTCATCTCAGAAGCAGTTGGCACAGCATTTAACACACTTTCTTCTTTGAAACACATTCTTCTCTTGGCTTCTGTGAGGTCCTGTTTCCAACTTTTCTTTCTGTCTCACTGGCCACTCCTGCCTAGTGTTTCTGGATCAGCACTATTTTCTCTGCTGACCTTTGAAAGGTTTAGGGTGCCATAGGTCTCTGTCCTCGTCCCATTCATATATATATATATATATATATATATATATATATATATATATACACATAATTATTATTATTATTTTCGATGCCTTCATCAACTTTACGACTCTAACTGCATCTCAATATCAGTAACTACTAATTTCTATCTCCAGTTAACATCTTCATACTGAGCTTCTGAATCATATATTCAACTTGACATCAAAGGATAGACGTTTAAGAATGCATTTTATACTTAATATGTATAAGACAAAACCCTTAATTTCCTTCCACTTCTGCAAACCTCCTCCTCTTCCAATTTTTCCCATCTCAGCAAATCAAAGTACCATATGTGCAGATTTTCAAGATACAAAACAGGGTTATATTGGTTCCATTTCCTCCCTAGGGGCGATAGTTGATTACCCTTCCACTTTAAAGCAATTCACCAGTCTTATTCACTCTACCCTTCATACTATGTCCCTGGTCTGTCCACATCCTATATTACCATCCTAGTAGACTTTTCCAGTGGCTACCAAGCTTGCTCCTCTGTAATGCATTCTTCACATATCAACCAGAGCAAATTTTTAAAAACAGAAGTTATACAAATATGCTTAAAACACTCATGTATATTTCATTAGATAGAAAATCAAATCCGTACCTCTTATTTTGATGTATAACCCTGTGTGATTCTTCTCTCTTCCTGTCCAGTTTCATCTTATATCATTTCCCTCCTTGCCATTTATGACATGACCCTTGTCTTCTCCATTAAATAAGCTTGTTTCTGCATTAGTTCCTATGTATGAACTGTTGCCCCTGATTTAATGTCTTTTTAGCATGATATCAGAATAGGAGATTTTTTTTGTCATTTAGATCTCAGCCTAAAAATGATCAACTCAAAAAGGCTTTTGTCAATCAATATAAGTATTTTTTCTGTCATAACACCTGATTTCAATTCTCTCCATGTTACTTATCACTATATAAAGTGTTTTTGTTTTTAATTTATAAGTGATTTTTTATTTGTCCCTTCCTATTAGAATGTAAACTCAGAGCAGGGACCATTTTCATTTTGTTTCCTATTGTATCTATTTAGGACATTGCTTGGCACAGAACAGTATCCAGTTAATATTAGTTGAGTGAAAGAATGAATAAACCTAATTGACCTTTGACAAACTCGTTTGTAAAATATTTCTCATACATGTCATACCTACAGGTCCTTGTGAACTTCACTGGTATGATACATGTGAAAATATTTAACATGGTGCTTACATCAGCCAGCATAAGATGTTTTATAGTAATAGACAAGCCTCAATAAGAGTGACTTAAAATAAAGTTTTATTTCTTATGCTATTTGTCTACCACTGATCAACAGAGGTGTTCTGTTTATAATTACTATGGAATACAGTCTAATGGATTAGTCAGTATGGTGAACATTGCCAGTCACTAAGACAGGGAAAAGAGAGCCTGGAGGGTCCTCCACCAGCCATTGCATGTTCTGCCCAGGGAGTGACACATATTTCCCTGACTGGTCACTAGTCCCATTTACCCACACAGGAATGAGGAAATGCAGCTGTACCACCTGTTTTGGTGGAGAACCAGAAGTAGTAGATGAGTGGTGCTAATGAATGTCATGACTGATACTGCACAGATCCTCAAGAAAGGAAGTTCTTTTGACGTGCAAAGCTGCGGGTCAATCTTCTGTCAATATCAATTTGGCAATATGATAGGGAATGTAGATTAAAAATAATCACAATACTAAGCATGGTGTATTAAGTACTATGATGGAAGAATAAACAAAATTCAGTAAGAAAAGGATCCTTGATTGCAAAGATGGGGTATTTGGAATTTCTGTATGTTTATTCTTGAAAGTCAAGAGAAGTTATTGGAATTTACTGGAGCTTATTGGCAGGTAATGTCTGTATTGGGTTAGAATTTACAGTGCGGGTATGGATAGAAGAGAATAGTGCAAATGATGAGCTTTCTTCCAGGATGTCATTTTTCCTCTTAGACCCAATTCAAGGAACTCCATTAGACACTTATATATAATAATATAAGTATATAGTAATATACTTGAGTCTCTGGAATCCTCACATTAACTTTGGTATTACTTTAATCAATTTTTTTCCTGCTATAACTAAAATACCCAACAAGAAACATTTGAGAGGAGGAAAAATTAATTTGGAGCTCACAGTTTCAGAGGTTTCTACCTGTAGATAGCTGGCTCCGTTGCTCTGGGCCTAAGGTGGGGTAGAACATCATGGCAGAAGGGTGTGGTGGAAGAGAGCAGCTCAGGTCATGGCACCAGAAAGCAGAAAGCTCCCCTCACCATGGACAAAATACAAATCCCAAAGGTATACTCCCAGTGACCCAACTTATCCAGCCACATCCTACCTGCGTATAGTTACCATCTAGTTAATCCCTATCAGAGGATTAATGCATGGATTAGGTTAATGTTCTCATGACCCAATCGTTTCACCTCTAAACTTCCTTGTATTGTCTCACAAATGAGATTT